AGAGTGCTATGGCTTCACTGCTCACAGCAACCTCCAACTCCTGGGCTCAAGCGAATCTTCTGCCTCCACCTCCCAAGTAGCTGGGACCACAGGCGCCCGCCACAACGCCCGGCCATTTTTTTTTTGGTTGCAGCCATCATTGTTGTTTGGCGGGCCCAGGCTGGGGATTCGAACCCGCCACCTTAGGTGTACGTGGCTTGGGCCTTAGCCGATTGAGCCACAGGCGCCGAGCCCAGAATCTTTAGGTCAAAAAGGGGCTCAATCTTCCCAAGGACCCACGAATAGGGTGTATAGATCTGGAAATCTGCCCAAACCCGAGCTCTCATCCGGGTCACAGACGCCTCTGGAACTTGTGGTGTCCTTGCTGCTGTACCTCCCAGCGAGGCAGGGCCCAGAGCAACAAAGCCCACGTGATGTGGGGGAATCAGTCACAGCACCGACTCCAAGGGAAAAGAAACCAGCTCAGCTCACACACCAAGCTATGAAAAATCTTTATTGTTATTTTTTTTTTTCTCCAACAGATATATTTTTAGTTGAAATATGAAGCCACAGCAACACTTTGACTTTTCTTCTTCAGAAGATGAGACAGGCCAGGGTCATCTCTATTACAAGAGTGAGGCCTGTGATTGTGACAAAGGCAGGCTGGGGAGGAGAACCCACACTCGACCCAGGAGGGACCACGACTTGGGCCCTGCACAGGAGCTACAGGTACAAAGAGGGGGCAGCCAGCGACAGGAGCCTTGACACCTGATTCCAGACACTCCCACCCACCAAGGGGAGGGAGAAACTAAAGCTCTCACCTTTCCCCAGGGTTCCGCTGACCTGGGAGTGTGTGGGCATGTGTGTGTGAGTGTGTCTGCTTGCCTGTGTATGTGGGTGTGCACTCACACGCGCTGCCTCTGCTAGGACAAGGATGCTTTCAGGTCCCTGCTGGGGTTGGGCTGCAGCTGTAACCCTGCTGGGCTTATCCCCTGGTGATCAATGGTCTTGGCAGATTAACTGTCAGCTAACCAGGGCCAGGGCCATTTGGTGGTGGAGGACACACGTGTTACTCAAATCCTCCTTTGGGAACAGGCTGGTGATGCCAGAGCACAGTGTGAACTACCCATCAACAAGGGGGCTCTCCCGGGCTCATCCATTTGAATCCTGTGGGCTCCATGATACTTGGAAGCCTCTGAGGCCCTTAGCTCCAAACCCTGAGAGAGAGGAAGGATTTCGCTCTGAGAGTACCCTCCTGGCTCTGGGTATCCAAGGCAAGAAAGGAACCACAGGAAGGTAAGGGGATGGGGGTAGAGGTCCCCTCTCCAAGGCCTGTGACTTTCCCCAATCCCTAACCTAGATCTTAATCTTGTAAGAGCCACAGGGAGATGGGAGTGCCACCCCTGGGAAGGTGGTGGCAAGTGGGAAGACTTGGGGCTCCCGCACAAACATTAGACCCAGGTCCCCACTCCTTCAAAGACTGCTACTCTGTGACTCTGGAGCTGGGTCTAGGGGCTGGCCTGATGGGACCTACTCAGTGAAGGCCTGGTCAGCTGTCTTGATGGGCACTCCATAATTAAAAATGATGCTCTTCTAGGAAGACATGGACAGAGACCTTTCCAAAGGCAATGGGGAGGGAGGCACAGGTCTTGAATGAGAGAAGTCCAGTGCTGGCCAGGACCTACAGCTCCTGTAGTAGACACCATGGGAGCCTGGCTAGTGTAGGTCAAGGGCTAGTATCTGGAGCCAAAGGTCTCTTGTATGGGTTCCTTTTTTTTTTTCTTTTGAGATAGAGTCTCACTTTGTCGCCCTTGGTAGAGTGCCATGGCATCATAGCTCACAGCAGCCTCAAACTCCAGTGATTCTCTTGCCTCAGCCTCCCAAGTAGCTGGAACTATCGGCATCTGCCACAACACCCAGCTATTTTTAGAGACAAGGTCTAATTCTGGCTCAGGATGGTCTCGAATCCATGAGCTCAAGCAAGCCACCTGCCTCAGCCTCCCAAGTGCTAGGATTACAGGCATGAGCCATGGTGCCCGGCCTGGCTTTTTATTTCTTTTTTTTGAGACAGAGTCTCACTCTGTCACCCTGGGTAGAGTGCTATGGCATCATCATAGCTCACAGCAACCTTAAACTTTTGGGCTCAAGCAATCCTCTTGCCTCAGTCTCTCAAGTACCTGGGACTACAGGTGCCTGCCACTATGCCCAGCTAGTTTTTTTCTTCTATTTTTTTTAGTAGAGACAGGGATCTCATTCTTGGCTCAGGCTGGTCTCAGACTCCTGAGCTCAAGCAATCCACCTGCCTCGGCCTCCCAGAGTACTGGGATTACAGGGGTGAGCCACCGAGCCTGGTCTATTGTGTGGGTTCTGACAGACTCCTGCTAGATGAGTTCCAAGGTCTTTTGGGGTCTCACAGCTGGGAGCTGCTCTTTCCCTTTAACAAGGGGATCCCTGAGACGAGGCCTCAGGCAGAGATATGTGGAGGGACAGACAAGAGGACAGAGCATTTCTGCTGACAGAAGATGGAGACGAGGGCTGGATGGAAGCTGAGCAATCCCATTCTCACCAGAGAAGTTGGCCAGTTGCCAACCCACCCAGGGAAGCAATGCACACACATCCTGCTGACCGCTACCTCTGAGCTCTAGGCTGCTTGTTCAGGACAACACAAAGCTCCTTGGGGGCCCTGCTTTCTTGCCAGCTGTGGACCCCACTGGGGGCAGGTGTGGTCATTAGAGCAAATGCACTCTCAGGTGGACCCCTGGCCTGGAACAAGCAGCAGAGTGGGTGACTCCATGGCAACAGGAGTCATGGGTGAGCCAATGGGAGACCAATACACAATCGAAAGCCAATCAGCCTCAAACACAGACTGCAAGGGTGAAGGCAGCAGCAGCAAGCTCTTCATGTAATAAATATCGCAAAGCGCACTTGGTTTCTTTCTTTCTTTTTTTTCAAGTCAAATATAACAGCTAACGTCTCAGACCCTGTTTTCTGCATTCAAAATAGAGAAGCTGTTTGTATCAGCAGAACACCGGCAGCCAATCAAAGAAAAATACCGTTTCCCATTAACCAGCCAATCATAATCCCTTTCCAGCGTAGGCAGCCAATCAGACCTCTTCACATTTCTTAAAAATGACCTAACTAAAGCACCAGAGCTCGGACAGCTTCCTGGGAAGCCAGATACCGAGGCGCAAATTTTTAAAAAAATAAGAGTCAGAAATAAAAATAAAAGGTTTCTGTTGGTCAAGATTTAAAAATAAAAAGGTTTCTTCCTGAAGCCAATCATGAGTCCGTCCCTTTAAGCCAATTGTGAACGCACCACTGATGTCTCCCTTGATGCTGGCCCACTGGGTGGCCATGGGGTGGGGTGGGATGGGGTGGGGAGTGGGGTGGGAGGGGAGCGGGAGCAGAGGGAGATGGGGCAGGGTGGTCTGCTGCCACTTAGCCGGCCAAGAAGCCACGAATATCTCTTGGCCCTCGACAGCTTCCAGAGTGTTCCAAGGGGTTTGCAGCTACTGTCTCCGGTCTTCTGTCTCCGACCTGGAAAATGCCATCACCACATCCTCTGCACCTGCAGACCAGGAGACAAAAATTGCTGATGGGGTTTCCAGTGTCTGTAAGCAGGACAAGTGAGGAGGCTCACCAGTGTAGTGGTGCTTTCTAAGCACAGAGTGCTTCTGAGGAAGTCCCCCCAGTCTTCCCTGCAGCCTGGCTAGGGGCTATGGCCGCAGGGCTGAGCCTTGCTGGAGGCTGCGCGGTTGAGAGGTGAGGTCTTCCGGGTGTGGAACAGGGCCCAGTTCTGCTCCCTTCCCTTGCTCCATGGTCACCAAAGCTGGCGTACTCCTGGGAGTCTCCCTCTTTCATCTCAAGACTCATGTCTTTATCCCTTCAGAGGATATTGCTCATTATGGTTTTTAACAGCCATTCCTCTGTGCAACCACTTATCCTTTTCCTAAACCCAACACCTGTTCAAAGGAGTACCGCCAGGCCCATTTCCAGGCTGCTGTCTGCCTGGCTCTGCCCGAGACAGACAATGCCCACGATCCTTATTATTATTTTTCTTAATCCTGAATTTGAGATTCTGGCCCAGGCACTCATGAAATCACTTCCTTTGTCTTGTTTTCCAGAAGACAGGCTCTGACATGCAGCCAGAAAAGGCAGCAGGGAGGGAGGAAAGAGCTTGGAATGCTGGCCTGCCTTCCCCCCAGAGCTGCCTGGGGCAGAGAGTGGACTGCAAGCAGTCAATCCTGCAGGGAGATGATCTGCAGGGTCCCAACCTGATTCCCTGTCCCAGGGCGGTTCTTCTCTGTGCCCTGAATGTTAACAGCCAAGCTGCCGTGGCCTTTCTGACATCTCGCCTGTGCTACTGCAGGAATTCTCCCCGGGAGGGGGCAGCTTGGAACAGCAGAGACAGGAAAGGCCACCAAGGGTGATGGATGTGAGGGCAGTACACAGTGGGGCTCCTGGCATGTGGCCAGTTTTGACCACACCTCAGTAGGTCTCCCCCTTACCAGCACTTCCATCTGATCTCCTTCCTAATTGCTCCTGCAGAGAGGGGGCTCCCAGCTGTGGGGAGGGCTGCACAAGGAGGGCCCAAACACAAGGATGGATGCTCAACCACAAGATAAGCCGTCAGTCTGGCACTAGGGCACCAAGGTGCTCCTCGGGGAACCAACCTTGTTGCTGCCTCCTATCCAGCCCACCTTCATGGGGTTCTGCCCTTACCAATACAACCTCTATTCCTGAAAAGGAATATAAGCTTCTAGAAAGGAGTGTAAGTCGTCTGGCTTCTTGGGAAGGGGCTTCCTTGCCTGGGAAGCCCTACTAATCCTTCCCCTGTCTTCTCAGGAACATTCTGTTCTCGCCTCAGTCCTAGGACCACGCAGTATCACTGCAGGCAGAATTTTCCTAGCAACCAGAATCCAAGATTACATCACACCCTACATGGCAGCTGAGCTGGTTACCTAACAGATGCCGACTTTTCCCGGTGCTGCCTCCCAGCTCGCTAGTCAGGAGGGGGCTGGAAGGCGGCTGTGAGGGGGGAGTTGTCAGTAGAAGATGCCTCGGTGCCAAGGCGCGGCGGCAGCCCACTCGCATCTCTCCTTGCCTGCCTTGTGGGCTTTCTCGCGGGGACCTTGGGCCTCTGCAATGAGCCGCAAGGCACAAAAATAGCACTGGCTGCCCCAGGAGGGAACAAGGAGCCTGCAGAGGGAATGGGCCTTGGGCTTCTCAGAGGAGCCCAGACCCAGGGCTCCCCACTCAACTCACAGCCTGCCCAGTGTGTGGACCTCCCCTGTGCTTTGACAATGGGAAGAAAGTAGCCTTATCAAGGTCACACAGGGACTTGATGGCAATTTAACAAGACACCTGGAACAAAGGATTTGGAAGAGCCCCACCCCTCCCACACTGCCAGCTGCCGCCCCTTCCACAGCTCACATTTATAGAGCCTCCCACTGCACTACTGGGGCCGGCATGGAAAGGGCCCCTTGAGCGGCTGCCCACCCTCTGCCCTGTTCCATCCCTAAATGTAAAGGACTCTGTTTTCTAGGCTTCACTACAAGGATCTGCTTTCCTTTGGGGCCTAAGAGGGGGCAGGCTCTGCTCTTTTGGCTCGTTCTCTGACCTATACTTTTTTTGAGAGAGATAGGGTCTGGTTCTGTCGCCTAGGCTAGAGTGCTGTGGCATCATCATCTATCACTGCAAACTCCGATTGCTGGGCTCAAGTGATCCTCCTGTCTCAGCCTCCTGAGTGGCTAGGACTACAGGTGCCCACCACTAAGCCTGGCAATTTTTTCAAGTTGTTAATTTTTTTTTGTGGAGGCAGGGTCTGGCTATGTTGCCCAGGCTAATCTGGAACTCCTGGCCTCAAGTGATTCCCCTACTTTAGCCTCCCAAAGTGCTGGGATTACAGCCATGAGCCACTGCGGCTGGCCTGACCCATCCTCATCATTGGTTGGCCAGGTGCTCATGGTCCAGAGAGGTCTTGCCATGAGCCTGAAAGGCCTCTAGAAGAGAATGATGTTTCCCTCTCCTTTGCTCTATACAATTTGGACCAGTTACCTATTAGGGAAGGGGAGCTGCTCCACTAGCTATTATAATTCTATTCCTCAGTGTTAGAGTTTTAGAGGCAGGAAGGACTGCGGAGGATGATTCCTGAAGTCTGTTCTTCTCCTTAGAAGAGCAGCAGATGGTGGTTCCTTTAGGTGTCCTCTCTGTCCTGGAGGCACCACAAAGAAGGGGGCAGGCCAGTCCACTGCCCCTGGGCCACCAGCCAGGTCTCCTGTCCCATCAAACAGACGAGGCTGGGCGGCGCCTGTGGCTCAAAGGAGTAGGGCGTCGGCCCCATATGCTGGAGATGGCGGGTTCCAACCCAGCCCTGGCCAAAAACTGCAAAAAAAAATCCAGATGAGGCTTTGTTATTCTTCTTGGTACCTCTGCTGACACCATCTGAACTTGGGCTCAGAGGTGGTTCTATTTGTCCCTTCCCACCAGTTGCTGGTGAGCACAGGAGGGGAGGGGTTGATTGGTCTCTCTGTGTAATACTCTCTAACACATTAAAAGATAAAAATGGGCTGGGTATGGTGGCTCATACCTGTAATCCTAACACTCTGGGAGCTGAGGAGGGTGAATTGCCTGAGCGCAGGAGTTTGAGACCAACCTTAGCAAGAGTGAGATCCTGCCTCTACTAAAAATAGCAAAACTAGACAGATATTGTGGCAGGTGCCTGTAGTCCCAGCTACTCAGGAAACTGAAGCAGGACAGTTTGGGCCCAGGAGTTTTGAGGTTGTATTGAGCTGTGATGATGCCACCGCACTCTAGTCCAGGCAACAGAATGAGCTGCTATCTCAAAGAAAAGATAAATATAGCCAAAACCAGACAACATCACAAGAACTATAGACAGGTATCTCTTATGAATACAGATGCAAAAATGCTCAAAAGAATGCTAACAGAATGGATACAGCAACATATAAAAATGATTACATAGGAATTGAACATTTCAATTGAATTGAACATCTGTTCAATCTCGATGAACAAATGAGATTTATCCTAGGAATGCAAGGTTGGTTCAACATCTGAAAATCAGTTAATGTAATACTGTATCAATAGAACAAAAAACAAAAACCATATAATCACCTTATAAATAGAAAATTCAAAATCCCTTAATGATTAAAAACACCTAACAAGTTAGGAACAAACTAGAAGGGAACTTCCACCAGGCACAGTGGTGTTGCTTGTAGTCCCAGTTACTTGGGAAGCCCACACAGAGGATTGCTCGAGGCCAGGAGTTCAAGACCAATCTGGGCGACATAGGGAGATCACATTTCTAATTAAAAATAAACAACAGAGGAACTAGAGAATTTTCTCGACCTGATGTAGGGCACCTATGAAAACCCCACAGCTATTATTATATTTAATGGTGAAAGCTCTCCCCAGTAATATTAAGAACAAGGAAAGGGGCTCAGTGCCTGTAGATCAGTGGTTAGGGCACTGGCCACGTACACCAAGGCAGGTGGGTTCGAATCTGACCTGGGCTTGCTAAACAACAATGACAATTGCAACAAAAAAAATAGCCGGGTATTGTGGCAGGTGCCTATAGTCCCAGCTACTTGGGAGGCTGAGGCAAGAGAATCTCTTAAACCCAAGAGTTTGTGGTTGCTATAAGCTGTGATGCCATGGCGCTCTACTGAGGGCAACATAGTGAGACTCTATCTCGAAAAAGAACAAGGAAAGGATATCTGCTTTCACCATTTCTATTCAATACTGCCTGGATGGTTCATTCCAGGGCAATTCCACAGGAAAAAGAAATAAAAGGCCTCCAGAGTAGAAAGGAAGGAATAAAACTATCTCTATTTGTAAATGATATATTTTGAATGTAGAAAATCAAGGAAACCTAAGGAATATACTAAAAAACTGTTAGAACTAATAAACAAGTTAAAGTTGCAGGGTATAAGATCAATACACAAAGATAAATTATCTTTCTGTATCCTAACAATGAACAATCTGAAAGTGAAATTAAGAAAATCCCATTAAAAAGAAAAGAATTCCATTTATAATAGCATTACTAATAATAAAATACTTAGGAATAAATTTAACAAAGTACACAACTTATACTCTGGAAAGTATAAAACGTAATTGAAAGAAATTCAACACAATCCCTATCAAAATACCAGCTGCTTTTTTTTTTTGTAGAAGCTGACAAACGGATCCTAACATTCCCATGAAAACACTAACTCAGAATAGCCAAAACAGTCTTGAAAAAGAAGAACAAAGTTAGACTCACAGTTTCTGACTCCAAAACTTACTACCAAGGAACTGTAGATAGGACTTGGAAGTACTGGGATAAGGACAGACACGCAGACCAGTGGAACAGAAATGAGAACTCAGAAATAAACCCGCCTCTTAAGGGTGGTTGACTTTTGACGAGAAGGCTAAGACAATTCACTGGGAATAGTCACATGCAAAGGATGAAACTGGATCCTTACCTTGAAGCATATATAAAAATTAACTTACAGTGAATCAATGTCCTACATGCAAAAGATAAAGTTATAAAAATCTTAGAAAAAAACACAG